ACATTGGAAAACTGTAAGTAGACACTCATTACCTGCCCAAGCCTTCCCTTCTCTACGCTGTACAAACCTAGCTCCTTAAGTTGTCAAAGTTCCTCTACCCTCAAATCATCTTGGTGGCAATTCACCAGACCTTATCCAATTTTTCAATTTCTTTCTTGAACTGGAGGGACCAAATTGTACACAACATTCCAGGTGTGTCCTAACAAGTGCTGAGTAAAGCAGAATAATCACACCCCTTGATCTGTTGACTATACTCTTACCAATGCAGCCCAGGCCACAGTTTGCCTTCATCGCTTCAAGGGCACACTGCTGACTCCTGTTGAGCTTGCCGTTCATCATGACCACCAGAGCTGCATCCCCATCAGTCAGACCCCAGTCTACACTGCTGCTTGGAATTATTCTGTTCATGCACGATTTAACATTTATCTTTGTTAAACTTCATGTAATTCTTGTTGGCCCAATCTTACAACCTGAATACTATTAATTAACATTTAGCAGTAGGACATCTTCCTATTACAGACAAGCATGAGCTGCAGCCAGCTCCTGGAGGTAATTCATGCTATAGTGTTTGAGAATTTCCAACGATTTAAGCAGTGACGCCTTATTCTATAGGCAATTAAAAGAAATTTCAGGATCGGTAGCCCTTGTCCTTATGGGAGATTTCAACTTCCCAGACATCAACTGGAAATATAATACTGCTGAGATGAGAAGATATTAAAAATTCTTGAATTTTGTAGGAGATAACTTCCTGTCACAGGTACTCAGTGAGCCAACTAGTAAAGATGCCCTCCTAGACTTGCTATTTGTGAACAGAGAAGAACATGTGGGGGATGTGATGGTAGGTGGCTGTCTTGGCCACAGTGATCATGAAATGGTTGAGTTTAAAATTTTCAGTGTAATAAGAAAGAAGGATAGCAGAGTTGCTACCCTGGAGAGCAAACTTTAAGCTATTCAGGGAGCTACTTAGCAGAGTACCCTGGGAATCTGCTTTTCAGGGCTTAGGAGTCCACGAGTGCTGGTCAGTCTTTAAGAACTACCTTTTAGAAGCACAGGAGCAGGCACTGGGTTGGAAGTCAAGCAAGCACAATGGAAGACCATCTTGGCTGAACAGGGAACTCCTCGTGGAGCTCAAGAGAAAAAAGAAATTGTATGATCTCTGGAATAAAGGTCAGGCTTTGCAGGAAGATTACAGAGCTGTGATTTATATATGCAGGGAGAAGACACAAAATGCCAAGTACCAATTAGAGTTGAAACTGGCCAGTGTTGTTTCAGATAACAAAAGGTCTTTTTAAAGTACATTAATAGTAAGATGAGGTCTAAGAAAACATTGAACCAATACTTGTTGAAGATGGTCATCTGACTAATAGGGATGAAGAAGAAGTGCAGACATTCAATGCTTTTTTTGCGTCAGTCTTTAATAATACTGATACACCTTGGGCTGCTCAGTCTGGAGTCAGAGGACCACAAGTGTGGGAACAGTGACTTTCCATTTGTGAACACTGAAACTGTAAGGGACCAGCTCTATCAGCTGAATGTTCACAAGTCCATGGGGACTGACGGGATTCATCCCAGAAGACTGAAGGAGCTAGAGGATGTTATGGCAGCACCCCTCTCAATCATCTATCAAAGCTCTTGGGAGTTTGGGGAGGTCCCTAGTCACTGGAAGCAAGCCAATGTTATTCCGATCTACAAGAAGGGCATGAGGGAAGACCCAGGGAACTACAGGCCTGTTAGTCTAACCTCAGTACCTGGAAAAATTATGGAGAAGATCATACTGGGTACTAGTGAAAGGCATTTAAAGAACAATGCAATCATCAGGCACAGTCAATGTGGGTTCCCAAAGGGAAAGTCCTGTCTGGCTAATTTGATATCCTTCTGCAATGAAGTCACCTGCCTAGTGGATAAAAGGAAAGCAGTGGATGTAGATTTTCTTGAATTTAGTAAGGCTTTTGATACTGCCCCTCACAGCATCCTTCCAGACAAGTTGTCCAACAGTGGGATGAGCAGGCTTACAGTGCACTGGGTGAAGAACTGGCTGAACAGCAGGGCTCAAGGGGTTGTAGTGAATGGGGCTACTTCTGGCTAGTGACCAGTCACCAGCAGTGTTCCTCAGGGCTCAGTTCTAGGGCCAGTTCTATTCAAGATATCTATCAGTGAATGCATCATTAGCAAGTTTGCTGATGATACCAAACTGGGAGGGGCTGTTGACTCTCTTGAGGGACAAGAGGCCTTGCAAAGGGATCTAGATAGATTGGAGCATTGGGCAATCATCAATGGCATGATATTTAACAAGAACAAATGCTGGATTCTGCATCTGGGACAGAGAAATGCCAGACACAAGTATACACTGGGAGAGGAGTGGCTGGAGAGCAGCCCTGCAAAGAGGGATCTGGGGGTGCTGGTCAACAGCAGGCTCCATAGGAGTCAGCCGTGCACCCTGGCAGCCAAGAGGGCAAACCTCATCCTGGGGCGCTTCAAACTCAGCAGAACCAGCCAGTCAGAAGAGATGACTATGCCACTGTATTCAGCATTGGTGCAGCCTCACCTTGAGTACTGTGTGCAGCTCTGGGCGCCGCAATTTAAGAAGGATGTGAAGGTCCTTGAATGTCCAGTGGAGGGTAACAAAGCTGGTGAAAGGGCTGGAAGGCATGTCCTATGAGGAGCAGCTAAGGACTCTGGGCTTGTCTAGTTGAGAGAAAAGGAGGCTGAGGGGCAACCTCATTGCTCCTTACAGCTTCGTGAGGAGGTAAGTGGAGAGGGAGGTGCTGATCTCTTCTCCCTGGTATCCAGTAATAAGATGCGTGGGAATGGTTCAAAGCTGCGCCAGGGGAGGTTTAGACTGGACATTAGGAAGCATTTCTTTACCGGGAGCACAGTCAAACCCTGGAACAGGCTTCCCGGTGGTCAATGCCCCATGCCTGTCAGCATTGAAGAGGCATTTGGACAATGTCCTTAAAATCACACTTTAACTTGGTCAGCCCTGAATTGATCAGGCAGCTGGACTAGATGATCGTTACAGGTCCCTTCCAACTAAAACAGTCTAGTTCTGTTCTATTCCGTTCCATTCCACTCCATTCCATACTATTTTCAGACACACATTAAAGGTTCAGATAACAGACTTCATGAAGTAATTCAGTACCTGTTCTATTGCTTATCAGTACTCCCCTCTCCCAGACATATCAGGGCGTAAAAAGGATTTTAACTCAGCCCTCTGCAAAATAACCCATTGCCTCCTTTTTTTCCTTTTCTTTGTAAAATCAAAAAGGGCATAAAACAACATCTGACAAACAGCACCCAATCGTGATAGAAAAATGTATGGATTTACATTTTACAGAACTCATAAATTGATTTATGTGTGCGCCACATGATGTGGGCTGGGCTGGTAGTCCTTCCTGCTTTGTGAGGCAGAGATCAAGATTCTTCTGCTACACTGGAGGGGGGACATAATTTTCACAGCAGTTTCTCTCATTAAAGTAAAGCAGACCAAACAGCTCCGACACAGGTAAGCACTCCCCCACTGCTCACTCCGCCCTCTTTCCTAATGAATTTCCTGCTTTTGTGGGACAGACCTAGAAGAGCTGCAAAAGAGCAGAAGGTATGTGATCGTCCAGAAATAGCTTTGGATTCAGAAGCTGGAAAAATGAGGTTCTAAGTTCCCACACAAAACTTGTACAGCGGGATCTGCCCATTGTTTGGTACCTTCCCATATTCACTAGTTCTGGCTTTTCATCTCAAAAGAAATCTTCATTGTTTCCCTACAAGAAAACTCAAGACGAGGAAGAGTTTTACTGGTGTCCCATCCTCAGGTCAGAATGGGACAAAGCAGGGACAAAAGCTTGCACATTTTTCCTTGTGATGAAGACAGAAGTTAAAACATGACTGCTCCTACCTACCAAAATCTCTCTCTGGTAAGTATACGCTGAAAAATAATACATTTATTTTTTCTGGCATTTGTACATATACATTTATCTGGTTTTGCTGTAAGAAGGGAATGTACTTAGTGTGCAAAAGCACACAGTGTAATTTGGAACTATATAACTGTGTATTTCTTTGTAAATACATCTTCACAAAAAATATGCCCATTGTGTCATGCTTTTTTCCTTCAAAGGAGTCTTCATCAAAACCGTGGGATATATGTAGGTTAGTGTAACACATGCAAGGTGACTCCTTAATTACAGTATTCTTGAATACCACAGATCCCTGGTATTCATTCCATAATTGACTGCACATAGTGAAAACTGCTGTCTCTTTCACAGGAATGAGGTTTGGAATGGGGGACAGGAGGGGCTCTTGTGTTTGAGAAGTGTGCAAAAAAGCCCATCAAGAGAAAAAGAGCTGAGGATATAGTCAAATATTCAAACACACACCTACATTTTGCAAAACCAGACATAGACCAGCTATATCTAGAACCTAAAGTAATGGTATTGCTATAATTCTACACTGAAGTTAGACGTTCAATTTACTGGGGCAGACAGCCCCATTAATAAGGCTACTTTTCTTCCGGGATCTAAACTAGTATCTGAATGTTCATTATGCAATGTACAAATGTCCTAGAATTAACCTCTAAAGTTATTCTGCATTTCACTTTCATAGTGACCTCAAATTTGCATCCTAGACTGCTCTAAGCTCTACTAAGAAGCTAGACCTTTTTAGATAAGCCTAGCGCTAAGTGCTGATGGTCTATTTATGCATCTTATGTCTTGTAACTGTGTGTCCAAGCATTCCCATTATTCAATATGCATTCACATAGGAAATTCTAGTACATTTACATTGACATGCATTTATGCACAGATTTCCCAGGCTTATTACATACGTGCGTAGCTGCATGTTCTCATGATGGCATGTACTCGAGTATCTATGTCCTTATTTTGGTCATGATACTGATAATGTACTTGTATGCTCGTGTTTCTTGTTGAAAAAACTATTCTCTCTTCCACAGATGTCTGTCCCCTTAACTGCTCACCTGTTCTCAGCTGTCTGCTACCACCAACTATACTACCATGTGGTTAGAGACACACTGGAAGAATATCCGCCAAGCGTTGTTGCTTCTTTTCACTGCTGCTCTTCTCATTGGGGTCACCATGCTGGCTGTTTCATCTAACATCAATCCAGTAGGCTATTTCTTCCTAGGGGTAGGGGGAGTGTGCCTGATTGGCTATTTGCTGAGTGCATTTGTCAAGTGTTACCTGAGGAATCGGCACCAACATGATGCAAATGAGGTACCTCCAAACAGGCAAAGCCAAGCAGGGTAAGCAACAACCTGGTTATTCCTCTTACTTTAACTCTCTCTCCTCAGTCGTGGCCATTTTACATATTGTTTTGCTGCCCTTCCCCTAGGGCATCAAACACAGACCCCATTCCAGAAGACAAAAGTTCTTTTTAGGTTGTTTTCCTTCGTCCTTCACATGGAGGTTGCAAATGCCTATGCCACGCATATCCTGTATCTTGTCCAATATACATTTTCTTTCCCCCAGGAACTGATCCACTAAAAATTTCCAAGGTTAAACAGATCAAGGCCTAGTTTTATTTTTCTTTGAGTAATCGAGTCTTACCAAACAATGAGTCAGACAAGGAAAAGGAAAAAATGCTGAAGCAATACTGAATCTCAGCTGGGTTTAGCTCTATAAACCTTATCTCCAGAGCAACTGTTCCTTGGCGAACTTTTAAAAAGGAAACTGTAACTGGGCGTGTTTCCAGCCTTAAAAACTCAACTTCACACTAATAAACCCCGATTTTGAGAGGCTCTCAATATGCCCACATCTTTTTGGCTTCATATACATTTGCAGGTTCTCAGTATCACCTAATTTAAGCCCAATTTGCCTTCTGTAGTTGAAGAGTTTAACTTTATTTGTATCTTTGCTTCCTTCTCTGTATAATCCAGATAATCATTATCCACATCCATAAATGACTTGACATTCTCAAACACAAGGTTTATAAGAGGGCAAAAACATTGTTCTGTGTTTATTTTCAGAAAGAATATATAAAAAGAAGTCTATGTTGGGCTTTGTTAGCTTGGGAGCATACTAGAAGAAAATGAGTATCTGTTTATCTAAAAATACGACCTTAAAAGGAAAATGTTTCTAAAGCAACATTTTTCTCTGCAGACAGTTCTTTTTAACACACAATAGTTAATCCTTGTTCAACCTAAATGAAAACATTTCATTTTCTCCACTTCTTAAAAGCAGACGAACATTGAGCTAATGTATTAAAAAAACAACATCTTGTTTTATTCCAAGAAATAATTAATAGTTACCAGCAAGTTTTAACTGGTAAAGAGATTTTAAATGAGGGACATCAACCTAAGCCTAGGGCACTGAATTGAACAGTGTGGGTTTCTTCACTTGTTCTGGGGAGTGTGGGAAAACGGTCAGATAAGCCATTCTCTAAACCAGGAAGCAAGCCATTAACTTGGCTGGACAAGTGAGCCAATCCAGTGGCAGAATATCACACACATTAATGCCATGTAAGATACCCTGTCTCAGTCCCATTTATTGATTGTAGCATGGTCCTTACAATATGTTATCCAGACTACCTACCTCTGCATAAACTAAGCAGTAAAATAACCAGTGTAACCGCCATTCCTCTCTTTGTGCCTAGGGTGAACGCTGCCTACGAAGCGCCCACCTACGAGGAGGTGATGACAGTGTCAGCTCCAGCAATATGGACGATTGCATCCAATCCAGGCTTAGTGCCCTCACCACTGAATGAGCCTCCTCCTTACAGCATAGTTAGTGAATCATCTGCCCAAGAAGATATTACGGTGGAGGCCCTCAGGGTTCCAGTGGCATCAGACACAAGGCACGCCTCTGACACAGACACAGGCTCCAGGATGCAGTTGCAGCTGGTGCTGCCCCCAAGACTGCAGCGGTTTGTTTCGGACATCCACGAAGTAAAAGGTATTGAAGACAGGTTTGAGCCACTGGAGCCACTCACTCCACCACCTGCTTATGAGAGTGCCATCAATGATGACGTCTTTGAAGATGCTTTCCAGCCCGCCATATTAGGATTAATTTCACCTTCGATGAATGCAGAACCAAACCCTCACCCCAATACAGGATGCTCCTAGAGGGAAGGTGAAAGAGCTGAGAAACTGTAAAAGTTCGTCTCACCATTCTTTGAACCAGAGCTGAACTACAGACACAGCTTCTGATGTCACTGCAATCTTTTTGTACAAAACACACATCAATGCAATACCACAGTTCTTTGTCTTGGCAGACAGATAAAACCACTGCGAGGAAAGCTGTGTTATATATGGCAACAGTTCTCAAACTGGAGATAAATCTTTATGAGGGAGGAAAGCGAATCATGAGAAGAGACGAGGTTGCCAAAGAACCTCTGAAGAAGGGAAGAAGCTGCCTGGGAAAGGGGAGGAATAGAAACAGCACTAAGTAGGTTCCGTCCGTGCATTACAAACAGCAGCATTGCTGAGAGCTGTGCAATCATCAGCCACACTAAAATCCCTACTGAGAGACTGAGGCTGCAGTTCCCTGTGTTGCTGCAAAACAGCTGTTTTTCAGCAACACAAATTTATCGTCCGCGCTATTTGTTGCTACCCCTCTGCCACACTTGCTCCACGTCCTCAGCTGTGCTGCACTGGAGTGCGACTGAGGGGAGGGTGGCTGTCTTCATCTGGAAGCTGGCACCACCCAATACCTTTCACTCAGGGTTGAAAAGCTGACAGCAAGCATGGCACCATGAAATTACTTCTGTTGTTCACAAGGTTCTCATCCCACAAAGCCTGCAATGGTGCATGGAGGGAGATAATAGCAGGTTTTCTCCTGTAAGAGAGTCCAGCAGTGGAATACATACACATATACATACTCTCTGCCTGGACCACCAGTCTTTGCATATCTACAGGAGGGTGCATTTCTCTGCTGTACTACAGCCTCGAACAGATGACTCGAGACACTTTATTGTCATCACGGCAAGCATTTGAACAGAAAGCTCAGCGCTCCTCCAGTTCTCTGCAATGACGCCACGCACAGAGGCTTCTCTCTCGACTCTGGAAAAGGCCAGTCTGTCTGCTGAGGCCACAGTTGCAGCAGAGAGCACCTGAGAATAACAGTCCCAAGGCACGTGCGGCTGTAGGCTGGACTCAGGTTCTAGCTCTCACTGATCAGGCCTTTTAAAATGGGTGAGTTAAAACTGCTAGGATCTACAGTGTTAAAGTGGTCTGCAGCATACAAAGAGACATTCATGTCTGGTGAATGCCCAAATTTGAAAAAAAAAATATGGTTGTCTGAATCTCCTTATGAAGTGCAGCAGCAATCATCACAGCCTTGTCTCATATGACTGCATTATCTTTAATTCATATAAGGAACCATCAAACCATAGACTAGAAGCAAATAAATTATTGTTTGACTCTTTATAGCTCAAAGAAAAGAAAAGACCATTTATCTTGTTTATAAATAAATGGGACCACATTAAAAATACCTGGTGGCATCACTAGCTTTTCCTCCCAAACGAAACATTCCACAAAACCTTGCTTTTGCTTGCATTCTACTTATTTGATAATCTTGGCTTAGAAAAAGGAAAGGAGTTCCATTTCTAAATATACAGGCGTATCACTTTAATATCATTAATGATGAAGCAGCTGTGATACCTCTATCATAAAAGTATTATAAGAGACAAGTTGCTGATAGAGGCAACGCGATTTCATTAAAGGCAATTACTTTTTTGCATTTCCCTCCTGTATCTGCAAACACAAGGAACAAACCACATTAAAAAGCAGTACAGGTATACAGTGCAGGAATAGGAAATTTGGGTCTAAACTAAGCAACCCAGGACATTTCTGAGCACACAGAATTGCCAAGAGTCAGGGAAGAAATACAGGTGATCAGCACAGAAAAAAACTAGCCGAAACAAAGATCAAAACTGTCACCAGGTCTATCACTAGGATTTTGTCTTCAGCATCTGCAAGGGTTTGATATTCAAGCTTTTGGATTTGTGTTAAGTTTTAGCTTGCGAAACTCCCGTGCGCCAACGAAAAACTATCTGAAACTTTACATGACGGGAGCTGTAAATTTGCTTCTGCCAAAAGGATGCTCACTTGCTTTTCCCTTCATACTTCACGTGTACCCCTGCACACCCTGTGCGCTCCCTTTCTCCCTTTCAACTACCGAACGTTACTTGAGCCCTTTTTTTTATTTTCAGCTGATTTCAGCCGAAATGTACGTCAACAAAACATCCGTAACAAAAGCTTCAACAGAACCGGTACGTTTGCAAGGAAAGCTGCGTACCTGTTAATTCTACCCGCACGCAGAACCCCTCCCGTTACTCTGACGAGCAACGCCACAACCCCGCTTCCATGGCGCTG